TATATATATATATATATATATATATATATATATATATATATATATATATATATATATATATATATATATATATATATATATATATATATATATATATATATATATATATACAGCTGCGAAAAATAAAATAGCACCACCACCAAAAATTGGTTGAAATTAGAATTTTCCATTATTTTTGATAGTTTGAAAATTTTTTAAATACATATTTAAAAGTAAAATGATTTATATTTTTTATAAGAAACAAAATATACAAGTTTTAACATATAGTATTCATTTATTAAGCAAAAATTCAAAAAATATCAAATAAAATATGAAATAAATAATACCACCACAGCTTTAATGTGCACTTTAAAATAAGGAAATATTATTAGATCAATTGTTTTAAACATTTTACAATAAATATTAATTGTTTCTTAACTTTTTAGTATTTTGTAGAGTGACCTTTTTGGCAATGACGGCTACACAACGTCTTGGCATCGAGTTCCTGACACCAAGTCCTGACATTGCTTTAGCAGAATTTTGCTCATGTCTCCTTAACTACGTTCTAAAGTGACTCCTTTGTGGTGGGTTTGGTAGCAGCAACTACCTCTTTTACGTCAGCCCACAAATTCTCGATTGGGTTCATTATCCTGTTGGAACACCCAGGACAACAGCATTTCATAGTCTGCATACGCCAACATCACTTTATCCAATATATCAACATAAACGTGTTGGTAACTTTTCTGGGACTACAGGCTTTTCATCCATTACCTTGCAGACAACTCCGAACTGTTTGTACTGTTGTATTGATGTTAAAGTCCTTTTTAAGCTTGGTAGCTGTTTTAAAAAGTTCCTTTTTAGCCTGTCGGACTAAGCGATGCCAGCAATGTTAAAATAGAACAATTTTGACCACGTGTTTCAAGCTTTTCTTGTAATTTTATGGCATTTCTTATCATTTTATTGGAACACTCAACTAAACGACCAACTTCTCAATTAGAATTCCCTGCTGATATCAACTTTTGGATCAGTTCTCGTTTTTCTGCACTACAACGTTTCTGCGTCCCATTTTTATATGTAAATGTCTCCTACTAATACGCACGAATAAAACAGCAAAAAAAAAAATAATAACGCTTGCTATTTTCACAATTATTTTTACCGTTATCAGAGTATTTTACAACAAAAGAGTGTGTCGTGCTATTTTACTTTTCGGTCAGAATTAGCATTTTTGATTAAAATTGAGCAACACCAAGAGAGTTTTTTGATGATGATTTGTTTTAGAAAATAAACATGTTAGCTAATATTTTAAACAGCAAAGCTATAAAAAAAATTTATTTTGCATGGTGTTTTCTTAACAAAAAGGAAAATATGCTTTGTGGTGCTATTTTATTTTTAGTAACTGTATATGTATATATATATATATATATATATATATATATATATATATATATATATATATATATATATATATATATATATATATTAAAATTAGTAATATACCATAATAGAAAAGCGGAAAAATAATAGATGAATAGAAGCTCAGCGTTAGGGTTATAAATAATAAGTTGTAAAAAGATATAAAGATTTATAAACAACATTTTTCTAAAAAATGGTTAAAAACAGCAGTTTTAAATTTTGAGAATGATTTAAGAGATTTTATTTGGGAAGGGAGATTGTTCCAGTTTCATATGCTTTTATGTTGTATGGATTCGTAGCCGTAATGAACAGTTTGGTATTTAGGTACAGATAATTTAAGGTTGAAAGCAGATCGTAGAATATATTTACAATTTTCCCTATAACTAAAAAAATTGACAAATGTAAGAGGTAGGTTATTATGATTTTGGTTCCAAACAAATAGGCAATTTGATAGCTGAATAAGGTCACACAATTTAAGGACTTTAGATAAAAAATAGAGTAAGCTACTGTTCGAATTAGTATGTTGGAAGTAAATAAATTTTAGAGCTTTGTTTTGGAGATAAATTAGTCTTAAAAAAGTAAGCTGCTTAGACTGTTCCCAAACTTGGTAAGCATATCTGAGATGAGAGTGAAAAATAGCATGATATATATTAAGCAAAGTTTCATGATTAACATAATGATGAATTTTAGCTAAAATACCATTCGATCTGCTTAACTTTAATGCTAAGTCTTGAAGATGCAATGCAAAAGATAAATTAGAGTCTATTTTTGTTTGAACAGATTTAAATTGAATAATTTCCGTTTTTTTAGAGTTAAGAGATAATTTATTGGAACGGAGCCATTGAATAACATTAGCTAGATCGTGATTCATATTTTTGTTAAGTTTTTTAAGTGATTTGTTAATTAGGAGTAAGTTGTTGTCATCCGCAAAGTGATGAGCAGTAGAAAATTTAAGAGAAACATTTAAATCATTGATAAAAATAAGAAAAAGTAATGGACTTAAAACCGAGTCTAATGGAACACCATTAAAAGGTTTAGCTAGTCCTGAGTTGATACCATTAATCGAAACAAATTGTGTTCTATTACAAAGATAAGAGGAAAACCAGAGAAAATGAATACCTCTTATACCGTAGTGTTTCGGTTTTTCTAGGAGGATTATGTACTCAACTGTAACAAATGCTTTTCTTATGTCAATAATCACTCCACATGCAAAGTGTTTATTATCGATGGCTTGTCTAATTTTCTCTGTAATTTCTATTAACGAATGAGTTGTTGAGTGTTTGTTGCGAAAACAAACACTCAACAACTCATTAACTTTATTTACAAAAACCATACTGGTGTTTGTAAATAAATTTATGTTTTTCCAAAAAATGGTTGAGTCTTTGGAACATTGCTATTTCAAACAGTTTACTTAAGTTAAATAAAATAGCACCACTAAGCATATTTTCCTTTTTGTGTATAGGAATTACTTTGGCTACCTTAAAAGCTTCGGGAAAAATACCATTTTTGAAAGAATTATTCATCATAATACATAGAGGTTTGGAGATTATGTGAGATACCAGCTTTAGTAGAAATGTTGGCAGACTATTCGGACCAAGGCTTTCATTATTTTTAAGAGTACCTTTTGTGAGATTCGCCGCCTCATTTTCAGTCACGGGATTATTGAAAAAAAGAATTAGTACTAGTTATTTTAAGAAAGTTGCCAAAAACACATTTAGAGGGAAAAGTATATTCAAGTAGTTCGTCTTGAATAGTAGCAAAATAATGATAAAATATATTAGCAACACTGGTATGATCTAAGATGACATTTTCATTGATTTTGAGAATAAAAGATTTAGTACAAGATTTAGTAGAAGGTTTGATGTTTATAATTTCCTAAATTCCTTTCCAGGTATTCTTTACATTATTGATGTTGTTATTGAAAAAAGATGCATTGTACAATTTTTTAGTATATCTTAACAAATTGCTAATTTTATTTCTATATAACTTAAATTTAGCAAATAACATATTTTTTGGTATTAACATTTTTTATCTAGTAAATTTTTTATAAAGTATGATTTTATTAGAAATAGATTTAAGAACACCAGAAGTTATCCAGGGTTTAGATTGAAGTTTAATTTTCTTTTTTGTTAATTCTTTGTATGGAGCATATTGGTCTAATATTTTTTCAAATGTTTTAAGGAAAAAATTTATAGATTCATTTATGTTATCATCTTCTTTTATGAGAAGTTCCCAGTTAATATCAGAAATTTCTTGGATAAAAGAATCAGAATCAAATTTTTTAAAGCTTCTTTTAAACATTTTTACTTTTTTTTAATGGGTGGGTTATTAGGAATACAGACAAATTGTGCCATGTGGTCAGAGGTTGAAAATGTAAGATTACCAGAAATAAAATCAGTAGGAAATGAATTCATAAAGATGTTATCAATAAGAGTTTTAGTTTTTGCAGTTACACGTGTTGGAAGAATTATGGTTGGAAATAAGGAATGAGAGCACAAAGATTAAAAATAATTAAAAATGACTTGTGATTCTCTATAATTGAATAAATCTATGTTGAAATCACCCATAAGTACAATATTTTTTGCTTCATGACTAAACTTTTCAAGGAGAGGATTAAAATAGAAAGATAAAAATTCAGTGATGTTTAAAGAGGGATGTCGATATATACATCCAAAAATGGTATTACTTTTAAGTGGATATATAACTTCAACCAAAATAGACTCTAGAAATTTGGAGGCATAAATTTGGAGATCACTACGAACTATGTAATTAAGATTTAAATTTAGATAAAGAAGCGTACCACCTTTTTCTAACTCTGTTGGACAATGCTCAATGTTATATCCTTGTAAGGTAATGTCAGTTATATTATAATCCTCTATATATAAATTAGACTCAGTAATTCCTATCACCATGGGAGAAGTATTAATGGTACCAACAAAGCTGGAGAGATCATTTATGTGAAATGGAAGAGAAGAAATATTTAGATGAAGATAAATTTCTGTACCAGGATTAATAGATTTATTTAGTTCATTAATGTCTAGGTAATTACATTTGGTTGTTGGATTAAAAACATTGTTCATGTTTTTGAATAAGTTTTTGAGGTAATCAGAGGGTTCATGAAATTTTTTATTAGGAGGATTCTTGCAGGAAAGAGTTAATTTAAGTTCCATATCAGAGAGCATGGCAAATGGCATATTGCTTGATATGCAGTTCGGGCAAAATTCAGAAGAGTCATTGAAAAGCAGATTTTAAGCATGTTTGTCAACTGGAGTACATTTTGCATAAATCCAAAAAGAGCAACAGTGGCATTAGATGGCTTTGTGATTATCTTTTATTTTTTTTTTTGCAAAACTTGCAATGGTGATAAATTTTCATGATATAGATGGTAAAGCCGTTTATAGAACAGAAAATATAGAAAATTAAAAGAGGAAATGATCAAACAATAAACAGTAAATGCATAAATAGCAACATTTTTCTTGTTCATATATAAAAAAGCATATATAATAATGGTATATATTTGTATATAATAATAGTAAATTTTTTAAATATTAAATGTCTCATTTTAAATTATAATTTTTATAAAGAAAATTAACTTAAAAAAAACTTACGAAAATGATCTGGAGTTATATCATTAGAATAGATAGCAGCTAAAAATTCTAATCTTGCTTGAATTGACTCTTCAATAGAATCTTTTTGATCTGTTGCACTATTTTCAACTTCTTTTAATATTTGAACAAATACCAATAAATTGTTAAAAAAAGTATTCATTAATTGAAGGTCTTTAATTGCCCATGAAAGTAATGAAGATGACTCAGAAGTTTTATGTGGATACACACTAAGTATTTTTGGCAAAATCTTAAATGATACCATAACTGACCTATAAAAGATATAAAACTTATATGACCTATATATAAACTAATATGACCTATAAAACTTAGCAGCAGCTAATGAAAATTAATTTAACATTTGAAAGTTAATTCTATATTGCATCTTGTATATTTAAAGAAACACAGTGTATTTTCTTGTTTTAACAGTGCTTATTTAAAACAACAGCCATTTTTAATATATTAGTAATGTATAACATTAAAATGATGCAAAAGCACAAAAAAAATGAAAGTAATGAAGATGACTCAGAAGTTTTATGTGGATACACACTAAGTATTTTTGGCAAAATCTTAAATGATACCATAACTGACTTATAAAAGATATAAAACTTATATGACCTATATATAAACTAATATGACCTATAAAACTTAGCAGCAGCTAATGAAAATTAATTTAACATTTGAAAGTTAATTCTATATTGCATCTTGTATATTTAAAATATGTTCATAAAATGAGATTCAAGCCTACTTTAAATTTGTGATGTTTAAGATGTTGTCCATATGTTTTTGATAACTTATTAAATTAGATGAAAGGTATGGTTTTGATTTTTTGATCATAAATTCTTATATGATTAAACATTAGAATCATCTATTTTTACTTAGTCATAATTCTTTTCTCTTTAGATACAGCTTAAATTTAGTTTGTTTCTTTAAAAGCAACATCCGTTTAGTTGAAAAAACCAAATAATACATTTTTTATTTCATTTTAGATGAATGTTAGAAACTTTTATTGTACTAGATCTACCGGCCCCTGATGAGATGCTTGATTTAATAGAAATTAAATAAGATGAAGAAACTTTAGATGGCAGTAGTGATAATGAAATAGCTGTTTTCGTAGAAAAATACCAAAAAAGCAAAAAGGGGAAAAGATGAGTTGCTTTGAAAAAAACAAAATCTAAGTTCTATTTTTAAATTAGAATAGGAGTTTGAAGCATTGATGATCCGGAAAATGAACAAATAAATTTCATCAGGATATTTATCACAAATGAACTTAATATAATTTTAAACTAGTCAAACAAATATACTGTGCAAAACAATTTAAATGACCTTTTAAAAATTAACAGAATTTTAAAAGTTTGCTAAAATCTTAACAAAAATGCTCAAATGTAACATAGTTCTTAACATATGTGCAGACCATATGACAAAACATTTAAAAAAATTAAAAAAAGTTAATTTTTCAGATAATATATACAAAACTTTTTTAAGGTTTATATTAAAGATTTTTTATGTAAAGACTTTTTTACACTTATATTTATATTTGATTACAAAAATATAAAATTTTCTGCATTTTGATAATGTAAGTATTACTGTAATAATGTAAGAAACTGATATTGATTATTTGACTTAAATTATGGTGATTCTATAGAGTGCACAATCATGTTAATAACATTATCAATATCAATATTATTTGCAACAATAAAAAAATAATTTATAAAAAATATTTGTAAAAAAATATAACCTACTGATTTTTTTTTATATTTTCCAAACAACCTTCTATAAAAACCATCCTAACTTTTTTGTTTCCGGAATAACAAATTAATTGCCATAACAACTTCTGTGCTTCTTCTAACAAACCATCTGACATATTATTCTAAATAGTTTATTAACAAACCAACTGACATATTATTCTAAATAATTTATGAACAAACCAACTGACACATTCTAAATAATTTATATTTAGTATTTGTAACAAGATACAAAAATTTACAATGTCTATAAAATAATATTATTAGTATATATCTACTAACTCTCTATATATAATATATATCTATACTATCTAAGTAGTACATACCTAAGATAGTATATATCTATACTAACTATCAAAATCACTTTTCAGCACAATAATTTTTGTATATATTCAACTTTTGTTTCCCAATATCAATGTATTTTAATAAGTTTTCATTTTTTTAAAAAGTAAGTTTATTTATATAATGCACATAAGCATTTTGCACATAAAAATTTAGTTTTAATGTAAAAAATAATAAAGTTCTGATAACAAATTATGTTAATAAATTTTCAAGTTCCTTCAAAAGTTTTTGAAAAAAAAAAGGTTTTGTTTTAGTTCTTAATTTTGAAAGTTTCATTAAAACATTCTAATTAATTAAACATCATTGAAAAACATTACAAATTGTTGATATTAAATCTTATCTAACTTTCTAGTAAAAGCATAGTGAATGCTTTTTCCAGTAAATGCATGATGCCTTAATCTCTTGATTTGCATCACACAAAATCAATATGAAAAATTATCAGTACTGAGTCAATGTTATTTTAATAATATAGTAATAGACATATAGTAGCAGAATATTGGTACAACACTATCCCATGCCTCTAGAAGTCTCAATTTGTTCTCTACGAAAGAGTAATTTTGGACTAAAAGATTGAGTGAGACTTGTCTTTGACCTTAGGAATATGAACCAAATAATTAAAAAAAATCTTAGGTAAAAAGTATAAAGTAAATCAGTAAATGAGTTACACTTTCTACTCTGCTCTGGATTTTAGAAAGAATATATTTATTAATTGAAATTAAATATAGCTTCATAAAATACTCTATAAAATAATCTTTGACAAGCTTTACAGATCACACCATTGATTGTGAGTTGTTAGGTAAATCTGAATGAATAAGTTTTAGAAGTTTATAAAGCTTTATCTAATTCAAATAATGAAACAAGTGTAGAAGTTGGAGGTTCAACTTCAATTAAAATAACATCATCTAAACAACTCCTAATATAAGTATTAAAGTTTTAAAAGAAAAAATACGTTTTGTGCACAATTTTTTGCTTTTGAATAAACTATTATAACTCAAGCTTAAATTAAGTGACAGAACTTTTTCATTGAATACTTTAGACAGGACTTTTTCATTGAATACTTTAGACAGGACTTTTTCATTGAATACTTTAGACAGGACTTTTTCATTGAATACTTTAGACAGGACTTTTTCATTGAATACTTTAGACAGGACTTTTTCATTGAATACTTTAGACAGGACTTTTTCATTGAATACTTTAGACAGGACTTTTTCATTGAATACTTTAGACAGGACTTTTTCATTGAATACTTTAGACAGGACTTTTTCATTGAATACTTTAGACAGGACTTTTTCATTGAATACTTTAGACAGGACTTTTTCATTGAATACTTTAGACAGGACTTTTTCATTGAATACTTTAGACAGGACTTTTTCATTGAATACTTTAGACAGGACTTTTTCATTGAATACTTTAGACAGGACTTTTTCATTGAATACTTTAGACAGGACTTTTTCATTGAATACTTTAGACAGGACTTTTTCATTGAATACTTTAGACAGGACTTTTTCATTGAATACTTTAGACAGGACTTTTTCATTGAATACTTTAGACAGGACTTTTTCATTGAATACTTTAGACAGGACTTTTTCATTGAATACTTTAGACAGGACTTTTTCATTGAATACTTTAGACAGGACTTTTTCATTGAATACTTTAGACAGGACTTTTTCATTGAATACTTTAGACAGGACTTTTTCATTGAATACTTTAGACAGGACTTTTTCATTGAATACTTTAGACAGGACTTTTTCATTGAATACTTTAGACAGGACTTTTTCATTGAATACTTTAGACAGGACTTTTTCATTGAATACTTTAGACAGGACTTTTTCATTGAATACTTTAGACAGGACTTTTTCATTGAATACTTTAGACAGGACTTTTTCATTGAATACTTTAGACAGGACTTTTTCATTGAATACTTTAGACAGGACTTTTTCATTGAATACTTTAGACAGGACTTTTTCATTGAATACTTTAGACAGGACTTTTTCATTGAATACTTTAGACAGGACTTTTTCATTGAATACTTTAGACAGGACTTTTTCATTGAATACTTTAGACAGGACTTTTTCATTGAATACTTTAGACAGGACTTTTTCATTGAATACTTTAGACAGGACTTTTTCATTGAATACTTTAGACAGGACTTTTTCATTGAATACTTTAGACAGGACTTTTTCATTGAATACTTTAGACAGGACTTTTTCATTGAATACTTTAGACAGGACTTTTTCATTGAATACTTTAGACAGGACTTTTTCATTGAATACTTTAGACAGGACTTTTTCATTGAATACTTTAGACAGGACTTTTTCATTGAATACTTTAGACAGGACTTTTTCATTGAATACTTTAGACAAAACTTTTTCATTGAATACTTTAGACAGGACTTTTTCATTGAATACTTTAGACAGGACTTTTTCATTGAATACTTTAGACAGGACTTTTTCATTGAATACTTTAGACAGGACTTTTTCATTGAATACTTTAGACAGGACTTTTTCATTGAATACTTTAGACAGGACTTTTTCATTGAATACTTTAGACAGGACTTTTTCATTGAATACTTTAGACAGGACTTTTTCATTGAATACTTTAGACAGGACTTTTTCATTGAATACTTTAGACAGGACTTTTTCATTGAATACTTTAGACAGGACTTTTTCATTGAATACTTTAGACAGGACTTTTTCATTGAATACTTTAGACAGGACTTTTTCATTGAATACTTTAGACAGGACTTTTTCATTGAATACTTTAGACAGGACTTTTTCATTGAATACTTTAGACAGGACTTTTTCATTGAATACTTTAGACAGGACTTTTTCATTGAATACTTTAGACAGGACTTTTTCATTGAATACTTTAGACAGGACTTTTTCATTGAATACTTTAGACAGGACTTTTTCATTGAATACTTTAGACAGGACTTTTTCATTGAATACTTTAGACAGGACTTTTTCATTGAATACTTTAGACAAAACTTTTTCATTGAATACTTTAGACAGGACTTTTTCATTGAATACTTTAGACAGGACTTTTTCATTGAATACTTTAGACAGGACTTTTTCATTGAATACTTTAGACAGGACTTTTTCATTGAATACTTTAGACAAAACTTTTTCATTGAATACTTTAGACAGGACTTTTTCATTGAATACTTTAGACAGGACTTTTTCATTGAATACTTTAGACAGGACTTTTTCATTGAATACTTTAGACAGGACTTTTTCATTGAATACTTTAGACAGGACTTTTTCATTGAATACTTTAGACAGGACTTTTTCATTGAATACTTTAGACAGGACTTTTTCATTGAATACTTTAGACAGGACTTTTTCATTGAATACTTTAGACAGGACTTTTTCATTGAATACTTTAGACAGGACTTTTTCATTGAATACTTTAGACAGGACTTTTTCATTGAATACTTTAGACAGGACTTTTTCATTGAATACTTTAGACAGGACTTTTTCATTGAATACTTTAGACAGGACTTTTTCATTGAATACTTTAGACAGGACTTTTTCATTGAATACTTTAGACAGGACTTTTTCATTGAATACTTTAGACAGGACTTTTTCATTGAATACTTTAGACAGGACTTTTTCATTGAATACTTTAGACAGGACTTTTTCATTGAATACTTTAGACAGGACTTTTTCATTGAATACTTTAGACAGGACTTTTTCATTGAATACTTTAGACAGGACTTTTTCATTGAATACTTTAGACAGGACTTTTTCATTGAATACTTTAGGGAAATAAAACTTTTAGTTATTCCAATAAAAGTATTCATAAAGTTTTTTTGCTAGTCTGTACTAAGATCAGATAAAACAGGATTTATGTGAGTCAACCTTTAAATGAATTGAAACAAATTCAAAAATTGCTAAATCATATAAATTATCTGCAATAAAATTTTGACTAATATGGGCCCTTTGGATCATTACTTTTACCATCTGTTTCAGCTATGGCTGAAATAGATATAAAATAATCTGTATGTCAACCTTTAAATGAATTGAAACAAATTCAAAAATTGCTAAATCATATAAATTATCTGCAATAAAATTTTCACTAATATGGGCCCTTTGGATCATTACTTTTACCATCTGTTTCAGCTATGGCTGAAATAGATATAAAATAATCTGAATGAACAGTTGTTATAACTTTTGCATTAGATATTTTTCTTGACTTTTTCTTTCTCTATCATACCTGTTTGACCTATTTGCCAGTTTCCATAGAGCTTGTTAGAACAACCCTTGTAAGAAACATGATGACATAATTAAGGAATTAAAATTTTACAAAAACTGCTGTAAAATTTGATGTCAGTTTAATAAGAAATTTTTGTTTGATCAGACTTATTTACTTCAACCCTGTCATCACCTACTTCAATCCTGCCATCACATATTTCAACCCTGTCATCACAATTTAAAATAAGAGTATCACATTTGCACATATATTATATAACTTTAAAAAGATTTTTTCCAACCAAGACTACTTTCATGTTTTAAACATTAGTTTTATGTTTTGAAGCTTATCATTCTGCTAAAATTATTTTTTGAAATGTATATATACTAATTTGTATAATGTATATATACCATAAGTATATGGTATATATACAAATGTATATATACCATATACTTATTTGTTTGAGATTTCTCTTTTATAAGTCGATCATGTAAGCATATTGATTTTTTTGTTTATATTTCGGGGAGTCACTAACTGGTAGTTAACTAGTTTGACCAACATATCTTTCACTGTGATGTCTAGCTACAATATTTGTATTTTTTTTTGGTGGTTGCCCAGTTCCACATTTAGTATTCATTTTTAACATTAAAAATACGTCTGAAGACAGATATTTAATTAATTCTATATGAAAACCCAGTATCTCAATATCTTACCAACATTTGATTTATATAATATTTCTTGTTTTTTTTTTGTTTTTTTCTTTTCTAATTTAGCATTTTTTTGACCAATTCTGTAAAGTATAGTATCATGTAAAAAAAAAAAAAAATTTCTTGGCAATGAGATTTTTTTTGCGTTAATTTGAGCCCTGGAACATAATAAGCAAAATTATTGAAATATAAAACTTTTATTAAATTCTTAATTGGAAATAACACTAAATCCTATTCAGAGTTTTGTCACTATTAAAATATGATTCTCATTTCAGTATGACATCATTGATAATGTTTTTGGCAACACTAAGTAGCCAACAACTAAAACTAAACTATATTTAACTATATATATATATATATATATATATATATATATATATATATATATATATATATATATATATATATATATATATATATATATATAATTAGTAAAAACACTTTTTCTTCAACAACTTGTTTCAACAACAGGTTTATCAGGAAAAACTACTTTACTAATTTAATATTGCTCTTTAGTTAACCATCTTTATATTTTAAATTCTTTTAAGTTAACAAACTATATTTTAAACAAATATTTCAATTTATTATAAATTTTTAAAGAGAAATAAAAGAAATTATCAATAATTTTAAATTAGTAAAATTTTAAAAATAGCATTTATGAATACATTAAGTTTTATTTATGTAAATATTTGAAGAAAAAAAAATTTATGATTACATGTACATAAAAAACAATAAGAAACAATGGAGTTACTTAAAATTAAAAAACTACAATTTAAGCACAATGATGATGATAATTTTTGATATGGTGATGATGATCTTCATGATGGAATGATTCTTATAAACTTTATTTTAACTTATTATGCAGCCCTCAGAACCATTGAATGAGTTTTAGGTAATTAATGTGAAATACTACAAAAGTTATTTAAAAAAATGCTTTTGAGTTATTAAAATAAAGACTCACACAATTAGGTTCCTGAATTAGATCCCATAATAGTGTGTTTCCAGGCTCACATAAGCTTTCAACCTTAAAGTTTATATTTAACTGATTATCCAATTTGACAGGAGTGTTGCTTACAGAGCACATTGATACATCATCATCTAAATCATCTAGAATGTCTTGATTTTGATCAGTCAAACTGCCATTAGTTTGTGTAGAGCTTACTGTATCATCACATTTTTCAAGATCATTACTAACTTGTCTACTTAGTAACTGATTATCAATGCCTTCACTAGCAGAAGGAGAAAGCTCCAACAAAGGAGTTATAACTTGTGAACGTAGATTCTGGTCAAGAACTCGAATTTCTAAACTACATTATAAATAAAATCAAAACTGTTTTTAAAGCATAAACAGAAATATCAAAATTTCAAATACACCATATGTATTAAAATAAATAAAAACCATTACATAAACAAAATTTAAAACTACTTAAACTCAAAAAAGCCATATTAAGTATTTAAAAAATTTAAAAAAATTAGCTGGAATTCACACTAAGAGATTAAAAAACAAGTTTATTATTTTTCTGATTTTAGAGACATTTAAAGATAAGATCAAAAATTATGTCTAAAATAATACATTAAAAAAAAAAAAAAGGTAAAAAGAAAAAAAAACCAATAACACTAGCTAGTTTTATAGATGCGATTATATGTATTTTACAACATATAATCATGTCTAATACTGTTAAAAACAAAAAAAAAAAATTAAACAGAACAAAAAAATATATATAACAGAATAAACAAAATCAAAAACAAATTGGGAACCACATAGTTTGACTTTTTTTAAATGTTATTTATCTTCCGAAGTACAATAAAGTAGTGAGACTCCACTAGAGGCTGTGCGGAGATATTTTTAATCTTAAAATTTGAATATAGTTCATGACATTGAAACATTCAAATGATGTTTATTATTATTTTGGTGAACACAATAACAAGATGTTTATATTAACAAAATGATACTAACAAGCTGTTTATATTAACAAAATGATAATAACAAGATGTTTATATTAACAAAATGATAATTTAATAGTTATAACACTATCATTTGCGAAAGTTTTAAATATACTGATTGCATCAAGAACTGTTTGTCAAAACTATAAGTTAATAAATAAAATTAAACTGCATCCGGCTGTTGGTCACAACTAATTGCTTAGGGTACCATACACTATCTATGAAAAAGTAAAATTTTCTATTTGTTAAAAACATGAATAAAATACCTAAAAAAAATTAAAAACCATCATTACCACCAAGTTTTTTAAATTTACCTTTTACAAATATTTATATTTTTTTGTAGCAGTTTTTTATTTATTAAGTATTTTATTTATTATTTAAATTATTTATACTTTATTTATTATTTAAACTTTTTGGCTGTTTCATCTTCAGATCTCAGTGTTGATTGGCTTAAACTTTTTGATTTCAAAAGCTTAAATATTACCAAGCTTGGCCTGGACATATGTATGTATATATATATATATATATATATATATATATATATATATATATATACATGTTGATCTTTCAAATAAGAATATTCTAAATTTCATTAAGGCAACAAACTAATTATAAAATCACATGATAAAAATTTTACATTTTTGTAGTTATGGAAATTAAAATATTATAATATACTTTCTTAGCTGAGATTCCATGAATCTTCCACCATGTATATCTGATATTTCTTCATCTGTACTAACACTGCTACTTAAACTGGGACTTTGAATAGGACTCACTTGCAATTCTTTAAATAAAGGTGGTGAAGCAACTAAAAATAAATTAAAAAAATATTTTTTAACCCTTTCTAAAGTTTTTTAAGTTCAAAAATAAAATTTGATAACTTTTTAAAAAATCAATAACTTACATGAATTTTTGCTTGTTAATTTTATTGGGCTGTTGATTATAAGATTTGCCCCAGTTAACCCTGCTGTCCATATACTTCGTATTAGTAATGATGACAGTAGCAGAGTCTGTTTTGTATGACTGTTAACTGAAAGTTGAGCAATTTGATGTAGTAAATACTGGACAGAAATAACATCCATCACTTTTGCTAACATTATCAAAAGCTCCAGAACATATCGACTAATGTGCTTTACCTAATTTTATTTCATACATGTGTATATAAATATACTCACAAACACATACATATATATATGTCTGTATATATATATATATATATATATATATATATATATATATATATATATATATAATAATAAAAAACAATATATTGGAGTGTGAATAAGAAAAAATGTTTTGCCAATCATAAGTAATCCTTTAAAAATAAAGAGTATTCAAAAAACACCATACTGTCAAAATACATATGGGAATTAGTAGAAAAAAATATTGATGACAATTCTAAAAAATTCTTTTTATAATAGTGTCAGCATATTCCACAAACGTGTGAAAATTTACAGTAATTTAGACATTTAGTAAATTACAGTAAATTTAGACATTTACAACTTCCTGTAATTTAATTTTTAGTATAAATTAAAGCTTTATTAATTTGATCATTCATTTCTGATGAATCTTTATTGATGTAACAGTGTTAAATGAAAAATATTTGTTAAGTGATTTTCTACCAACTTGATTGCTTGATTGTTTGTTTCCGGCTGGCAACCAGACCGTTAACTTGACCTCAGGTCACCGGGGCTTTCAAATGGTCATTTTTTTTTTTTGGGGGGATAGAGTATTCCATCTGAAGTGCAGAGTTGTTCCTTGCCCCCGGGGGTGCGCTGGATGTCGGAATGGTCTAAGGGACGGGATGTGATTTTTGTGGGTTTCTGTTATGTTCCATGAATTGCTGTTACCTGTTTCGTTGTTTTCTAGAGTTTTCTGGAATGTTCCACATTTTTCCAGAGTGGGCCAAAATTTTCCGGAGTGGTTCAGAGTTTTCCGAAGTGGTTCGGAGTTTTCCGGAATGTTCCATAGTGCACAGTATGGCTGTTCTTTAACCTTCCAGAGCATAAGGGGGCTTTCCGAAGTTTTCCTGTTCCTTGGCTCCGTCTGGAGTCTTCCATGGAGATGTAGGTGGATCACCAGAGATTCCTTATAGCTCAGTTTTTACCGGGTTGCTGAGATGAACACATCATTCAGTTCTGCGAGTCAACTCGGGGGGTTGCATGTTGCTGTGTGAAACGGGTGGGGAAATTTTTGGTGGTAACTAATTCATTTTTAGTTTTTTTATTTTGTGGTGGTCAACTTGGTACAGGGCATTGTTTTTTTCAAATGAGTATTGTGTATGAATATATATATATATATATATATATATATATATATATATATATATATATATATATATATATATATATATATATATATATATATATATATATATATATATATATATATATATAAGATGTGTATACCGTGTATATTAAATCCCCAGATGGAAGAACTTTTAGTGTTGTGTACCAAGAGGCTCTGCGGCGGTTTTTTTATAGTACCCATGATTGAGAGTATGGTCAAGTAATTGATTTGGGTTTTCTTTGTACACCAGCAACTTTGATTTGTTTTGTCAGTGCCTAGCAACGCAAGCACCTCTGCTAGTATCTCTCTCTCTCTCTCTCTCTCTCTATATATATATATATATATATATATATATATATATATATATATATATATATATATATATATATATATATATATATATATATATATATAATTTAGAAAACTTTGAATATACTGCCCCTACCCAAGCCTTTGTAACACTAAAAGACCATAAACCAAACTTTCAAAACAAACTTCCTTGTAGGTTATTGGTTCCCTCAAAAAGTGAGATTGGACTTGTAAGCAAAATTAAATTGGAAAAAATTAATAATATTCTTAGAAATAAATTAAATTTGCAACAGTGGAAAAATATCAGTGATGTTATAAATTGGTTTTCCATAATCGAAAATAAAAATGACTGTACATTTATTCAATTTGACATTAATGATTTTTACCCTTCAATCACTGCAGATATTTTAAATAAAACAATTGAATTTGCAAAAAGCTACACAGTTATTCATGAAAAAACAATCCCTATAATAAAACATTGTAGAAAAACCTTACTTTACTTTAATAAGGAAACTTGGAAAAAGAAAAACATACACGACTGCTTTGATGTGACAATGGGCAGTTATGACGGAGCAGAAATTTGTGAGTTGGTTGGACTATACATTTTAGTTTTATTAATTAAAATAATCAATATAAATGATTTAGACTTTTATCGCGACGATGGTTTAATAGTAATGCATAAAAAATCTGGTCCATAGCTCGATAAGATTCGAAAAGATAATATAAAATTTTTTTAAAATATTGGCTTTCAAATCGAAATAAACATAAATTTAAAAATTGCAAAATTTCTTCATGTCACATTTAACCTCTCTGAAAATTCATTTAAGCTTTTCAAAAAACTAAACGATAAATTATTGTGTATTAATATTAACTCAAATCATCCACCACAAATTCTATAACAAATCCCGATTTCAATTAATAACAGGTTAAACCAAAACTCCTCTAATGAAAATGTATTTAATTCCTCCAAACGAATATTTGAAGATGCCCTTAAAAAAAGTGGTTTTGAAAATTTTGAACTAAAATTTGACCCTGAAAAAAAGATTACAAAAAAACGGAATAGAACTAGAAATGTAATTTGGTTCAACCCCCCATATGATGCAAAATTGTTTTCACTAACATAGAAAAAGTGTTTTTAAAATTGGTCGATAAGCATTTCCCTCCCTCTAATAAATTACATAAAATTTTTAATCGAAATACAATTAACTACTAGATTAGAATACCTAAGGAATAAATATTTATTAACCAAAGATGGCTTAACTATGAAAACATTTATGATTTGATTATACAAACAGACAACCCTACTATACTTTTAACCACAATTTGATATAATAGATTGTACTGTTATTGGAAATAAATTTGTTTTTGCAAAGTTACCATTTTGTTCCAATCAAGGCAAATGGTTCCCTAATTGGAACACTTTGATTCCTTAATCAAAACAGGTTATTTTTTTTTTTTTTTTTTTAAAAAAACAGTAAAATCAAAAAAAATTGTAAAAAATGATTTTCATCGTTACAGTGAAAATTTAAACAGTTAATTCAAAACTTATTATATGATTAGTATT